TTTTGGAGATTGGCCTGCTGAGCCTCTTGTGGCTCTTACCTCTGACATCTTGTCAAGAAAAATCCCTGGTTCAGTGCCTCTTAATTCTCTCTGTTTTGGTGTACAAGTTTCATCTGTACCTCTCAAGTGTTCTCTGTGGATGGTTAGGGGCTGTATGACTAGCTGTTGTGCTCTCTCCACTCTCTGTAGGTAGCTATGCATTATGCCATTCTTATTATCATATGCCAGTTCATAGGACAGCAGGTCATGCTGTCTCTGCTCATCTTCCAGTTCCCTGTGGCTCTGACTTCAGCTCTTAGCAGCAGAGGGATAGCTTATCAGCTGAGCAAAGTGCTACAAAGTGTCTCATTTGCCATGCTGTCATGTTAGGGTGACAAATACGGATCAGGAACGGTATCTGCAGTCTTTTACATACGTTTTCAGTTATTCTGACACTGCCTCTGCTAAACTGAGAAAGTAATGGAAGCTTATGGCGCCATGTCTGAACACATACTTCTTCGCAGCTTTCATGAACTGCCATGCTGTCACTTGTTGGCCATTGTCAAGGCATTTCACTTTGCCATGTGCACCAAGGAAGATGAGTTCCATATAAATAATCCACTATTTAGGGGGATTGCCAGATAATAATACCTCCTCAGAAAAGCACGTAACAGACTGCAGAATATATACAGACTTTTTATCTCTCAACGTAAAAGATATCTAAGCCTGTCCTCTTTTTTGAAGACCCATAAGCTACCACTCTTTATGGGTGCCATTCATCTAGACTCTGTACAGAACACGATCTGTGTGCTATGTGCCAGGCAAGTGCCTTAGATACTCTAAGGTGTATAAAGGGCCAGCTGAAGTGTAGTGAAGATGTATCAAGGTCGCTAAAATGTCATTACAAGGCAACGCAAACTTCCTCAATGTGTCTGTGCTCTCATTGCAGTCCATCGGGACCTAGGGTTCAATTCAGATGCATCTGGATTGTCAAATGTGTCACAGGCCTTACTAAAGATCCAGATCTCTCTGGATTATCATCTGCAGACCAGGATATATCACAGTATCTGGAATTATTTAGTCACATAGGTTTAGTAATGCTTTTTGATATGTGAACTTACGGTTTTGACATGCTAGCCACCCTGCAGTAACGTAAGGCAAATGAATCCTTCATCCAGCATATCTACAGTAGCGTAAGGATGAATCATGGTCTAATCTGCATTCACTATCCTGACTAGGTTCCACTGAGAGTTTTGATCCCTGATTTACACTTAAATTTAAGGGTCTAAATTCAAGATGTATTGCAGTATTAGATTCCTGTGACGGTCAAGGAAACACTATCCAGCACTGAGTTTCAGCCAAGACTTTTATTCCAGTGCCTAGAACAATGTTGTTAGCACCACTCTGGCTTGTACACCTTCATGCAACTTAAAATTAAAAACGTTCCATTTGCTTTCAGACTGTTCATCATTCTGGCAGCTGCTAAAGGGTCATCTTTCTTTGAAAAAATGCTCTGATATCTTCCTTTGAACAATTTCTCTGGGCTAGTGCTGTTGTTTCCCTTTTTGTCTGTTCTGTGCACACTCTGCTGCTAACTCTAGAAAAGTGATCAAATACATCATGCTCTTACATCTTTTTACTGACTCACTCTTATTAATTTCCCTTTTGCAACAACATGGGTGTAGGCAGCACCTTATAACGGTATTTTTTGGACTTCGATTTAGAATTATCTGTTTCAAGACTCTTTAGTCTTTTGGTTCCTCTGTTTTGTTCTATTCTGTCAAAATTGTGGTTTACATTCCGCAGTGCTTTGGCCTGCAAAAAACAGCTTCCAGTTTTATGTCAAAGGTTAAGAGCAGGTTTGTCTCAAATCCCAATCACAAACTTGTCCTTTATCTATAACATTCACAAGTACTGTCTCCTCAGCCTTTAATTATTTACACTTATCCTGTCCATTTCTGAAGAGCTTTTTACTCTCTTATGAGCTTTAACTGCTGTGTTTTTCCACTGTTTTCTTAGATTGTGCTATTCATGCAATATGGATGTACCTTGCTACAGAATACCAGTGTGGCACAGCAAACAGGAGCCTTTTGACAAGCTATAGAAAATCTGGGCTGACCGTGGCAGTTAACTGGAACCCAACAGCTATTAGCCCTCCTGCAAGGTGCAGACGTGGGTCCTAGCCCTGAAACAGAGTTACCAATTAATGAAAACTCTAACCACTAGCTAAAGCTAGAAAAAAGTGGAGATTTTTCCAAAATAGTATTAATTTTATTTTTGGTACTGTTGAAATGTATATCCTGGTAACATCATCAGGCAAGCGTGGCTTTTTTGAAAATGTCAGCTACTCTCATTTATATTTAAACTATTATATGAAAATTAAAAATGGAGTTGTGTTTTGAAATGAAAACAATACTGCAGAGAGCCATAAAAGACACAGGATTTAATGCTAATAGTTAATAAAATAGGAGTGTGTTTCATTACTATATCTAATAAGATAATGACAGTGCTAAAAATATTTTCCCTGTTCCATAAAAAGTCATAGCTGTACTATAATCAGTAAATACACTTAAAATATGCACAGACTATGTTCTTATGAGTTTCTCTATAATAATATGGTATTTTAACTCTAACTGAAATTCTTTCAATTTGCATATTTAATTTTGGCATTAATTACTTATAAACTATGATGAAGAATTTATAGTAGGCTTCTTGGATGCTTTCATGTTTCAAATGTTCACATTTTAAATTACAAAAAGGACTGTTAGGATGATCTGGTGCTTTCAAGTCCTTTCTGTGTATTGAAGTATTTTCTCCAGCTCATCTGACCTTATTATAAACCTTCAAGTACATTCATAAAAACAAGTGACTACATGGAGAAATTCAATTTCTATTAAAAAAATAGCCTATGTCTGGTTCGATCTCTCTTCTACTTGTTGACACTTACATTCAGTGACCTCTCAGCCTTTTTGGATAACCCATGTTGTGTACATCAGCCTGTCACGGGTGGCTCTGGCAGGCCCACAATACACGACAGGGTTATAAGAGTTACCCGAGTTGCTCGTGTTTCAGGAGTGTTGTGCAAGTGTTCATTTAGTTTCTGTACACCTGTAATCATGTATAATGCATATGAGAATGCATAATGTGTATGAGAAAAGGGTATAAAAATGATGAGAACTGTGGGGGTTTTCTATGTGTTTCACACTGATGAAAAAGAGAAAAATACGGTTTGCTTTTGGGGACCAGTCCTTACAACTGACGTTTCTTGTGTTTTCTTTGATAATGAGACACCTTCTTAAGGAATGCAGACTTGATAATTATTCACCTGCACAGATGCTACAAGAACAGCATACCCAAGATGCAGGAAAAAAAGGAATTCCAAATGTTTTGCAGTTATAACGAGGCTGGGAGAATATATCTAGGAGGAGTGTGTTTGCCTGCGGTCACAGTCCTCCCTAGGCATCCACTGTGTTCGGTCTTGGACACATGGTGTTGCAGCAGGGAGATTAGGACAACTCAGTGTAGCTGTTCTTGCATTCTTGCATCCTTATATACAACATGGTGAATTTAGAATATTGATGATCTTATTAACTACATGGAATGTAAATAAAAATAGCTTGGGGAAAAAAAAGTGGGGTTTTTGGTGTGGTTTGTTTTGTTTTGTGTTATTTTTCTTTTTAGTGTGGCAATTCCAGCAGAAATCTGCGCCAGCACTTATATGCTGTTCAACAGATGGGAAAAAAAAAAAAAAAAGCAGGTGGCATTTTTGTTACTGACATATTAGCTGAAAGGTCATGATGTGTATAATGAAAAGAGCTGTTAGTGAAGGCCATTTTACACCTGTCATGAGATTATTCAATGACGTTATTAATTCTACTCTATAACATGCTAACTTTTATCAAAGAAGTGACACAGTGCTGTGCATGGACTTCAGCTAGAAAAATCCTCTATCCTGATCAAGTATTTAGATTTTAATAGAACTGCCCCAGAAAGTGGGATCAGCTTTCACTGATCCGCTTGCAGGGATATGGTCTGTTAGCTTGTAGACATTACAACATTTGGTATATAATAATGGTAAGATCTGAATAATGGATAATGCAATGTTCAAAGAAGTTGCTACATGTAACTAGGTTGCTTGTGCGCACCCTTAAACAAACATAACATGATATAAGCAATCTTTACAGGTATCTGGAACAAAGATATCACTTGGGAAGTTAAAATATAATTGATATCATTATTCAGTGTGTTAGCTCTTGAGGAGAGTCATCTCTTCTTAAACACTATAAAAGTCTTTCAGCAAAGGACATGAGTAAAAGCCATGATTTGTTTCATAAGGTTTTAATCCATCACAGGTAACGTTGCCTTCTTAATTATTCTTATAGCATCTTGATGAACTTGAAAGTATAGAGGTCAAACTATTGCATTAGGTTTTAAATTCTATCTGTTGCATTATTAAAGCAGAATGGAAATGCTTCTTTTGGATTTAAGTAAAATATATCTGTGAAAATACATTGTATAAATAAAGAAACAGCTACATGTCACTGAAATTCTGCAAACCTTGCTTGTACTGTTGTGTTAAAAAACATGGCTGTGTAACTGGTAGAGTGAAAATTCAAGTGGCTCAATTATCTTTATAAAGATATCTTCTTTATAAAGATTCGGCAAAGTTGCAGATTCTGAGAATGTTGCAATTCCATTTGTTCAAAGGAAGAGGTAAAAAGTGTAAAATAGTTTACATTTCCAGAAGCCTTACATAATCATAAAGCCTTTGTCTATCATTATTTTGACACCTTCAAAAGAGAAATGGGCTGTAAAATCAGATTCACATTTCCATTTCTAATTGGAATTGACCCATCCTGGTTCAATTCTAAATCAAGACTCAGATCTAGCAGAAAAAAATGATTATGAAAAGAAAGGAAAATCTTTCACAGCTAATCATAAATTTTTTCACTCAAGCAAGTTCTTTATAACTGTGTTAAGCAAACATGTATAGCTTACAGTCTGCTTTCTTGTTTCCACAGTGCATACATTATAACAGACTTCATGGGCATCAGGAATGAAAATTTTATGAAAGTAGCTGCAGTTGGGACTTGGATGGGAGATTTTGTCACAGCATGGATGGTAAGAAATGTAATATTACATTTTAAAAGAAAATAAAAGGACTATGTTTGTTGGTTTCATGGGGGAGAGGAGTGGAAAGGATACATTTCTTGAAGTATTCAAGTATTTCAACCCAAGCAGAAGGTTAACAAAGGTGAAGTAGTGTAATGGTGGGGTATTTAATTAGCTGGGAGTCTAGAAGAGTTTCAGTTAAAATGTATCAGAGCAGTATTTAATTTCTTCTGCTGTGAGTGGGAACTTTGCCATTGATTTCTGTAAGGACAGCACAGTGGCCCTTCTTTGCTATAAAACAACATCATGACTTGCTGTCTTGTGAAACAGTGAGTAATGGCTAGAGGTAGACAAGTCTAATGAAAAGGATTAAAAAAGAAGAAAAATTAACTGAAAGATGTGAGAGTGATGAAGATGAGAGAAAGAACATAAACCAGTTACAGCCCACAATGGGAAGGTAGCCTGTTTGATATGAAACTATCAAATTAAGTTTGTCTCTAATTTAGGATTTAGAAGAATAAATTTTTCACTTGGATTATAATTGTTATGAAGGTTCTCTCCTGAAATATGGGCAACCCAAAGATCAGCTTAGCAGAAGGCAACCAGAAAACAACAGCTAACTGGGAACAAAGTGAAGCATGGGCACATGCTTATATTGTTCAGGAAAAGCATTTCTTAAACATAGAATGATAAAAAGTTAATTAATTTTTTTGTTTGTTTTAAGTAAGATTAGGTTTTTATGATTAGTGTAGGTAAGAATTTTAACAATTATGACTGTGACTTTCATGTACATTAGGTTTAAGTCCATGAGTTTTTTAAGTTTGCAGAATTGGTTTTAATTAATCTGATTTTTTTTTCCTAATGATTCATTGATACCTCTATTTGTTTACTCAAAAGAATCAGCATAATTTTAGAGGAATTCATTAACACAGGGAACACTGCTTGATGATGGATGTTTCTCACATATCAAATAAATATGGAGGGAAAAGATCTCATTACTGTATGTAGCTCGTGACTGCAGTGATCTCTGACATAAGCAAAGAAACAAGCCAAGGTTGATAAATTTTAGGACTCTGGTATGTACTGGGAGAAAACACTACAGGAATAGTTTCAAGCCGGAATGACTAAGATGCTAAGGCTGTAGCCAGTAAAACTGTAGGAATGGTTTTAGAAGAGTCATCTGAGTTTCTGTCAATTTGTCTTCTATCTTTCACGTATTTGGGACATACTGTACAACAGGCAGAAGGAAAAAAAAAAAAAGCATGAAGGATTGTTCAGTACGTGTTGGTGGTTTGTCCGAGACAAATTATGCTCTGTGACATGCTGGCCATGAAAAGCAAGTGCGGAGCAGATCATCTCTACATACATTACAGTAAGGACATTGCAGCATTGGTGCATTGACTGATGTTGACAAGTAATGTGGGTTTCTTGTGAATCAGTGGTAAAATTCATGGCCACTTCTGAATGCCTTTAGCTTGACCCTTTTTTTTTTTTATGGGCTTTCACAGCTTTATCCCACTGTTGAAGGAAAGATGATGCATAAACTAAGCTGAATTGAGAGGGGTCATGTTCATCATACATATGTGCCTTAGAGCTCCAGTGACAGATTACATACAAGTTGCACTACATTAGGTAATGTTCAGTGCTTTCAGTCACTCTTTTCTCATTTCCTGGAAAAAATCTATTACATGCAGCACTATATAAAGCTTGGAAATGACTGGATTCAAGGAGCATGAAAATCCTGATCCTCTTCTGTGTACTCAAAGCACTCTCAGGTCTTTTCAGCAATGGAGGCACAATTGGATTGTGCCACCGTGGATCCCATTGGTGGATGGAGTTGTCAGTGAAGAATGGGAGAGAGAATGGCAGAGACTGCAAAGGCAGTTTGGACGGGGAGGCTGTTTGTAAACTAGGTTGGTTCTCTTAGCTTTCAAGATGAGCAGAGGACATGAGGTTGGGGGGTCAACGTGTTTCAGAACATGCTTTGGTTTCACAAGGAGAATTAAGAAGTGTGGTTTGTAGATCTTCAGAGCAAAGGAGCGCAGTGAAATTGCTTCTGCAATGCAAATTTCTAGGTAAAAGTTATAAAACAGTCAATGGAAATTACAGTGCTTAAGGGCAGATAAGCCTAGGAACATCAAAAATGCTGCAATGTCAGGTAGAGAGGTACTAGGAACAGAGGAGAGTGGACATGTACGTTGGTGCAAACTTCCCACACAGCCCAACTTTAGCAATCTTATTCTGTATAACAAATATTGTCATGTTGCTTAAAATATTTGAATTTGCTTGACTTCCTCTATTTCAAGCCCAGCATGACATTGATATCAAAGTGACATGAGTCTTCTGTGGCATTATTATATTCTATGAAGTCCTCCAGTACTGTTTGGAAACAGGGAAGAAAAAGCAAGCCTTTAAAGGAACCTTTGCACATCATCCTATTCACAGCACTGCTTATATTTTCTAATGTTTCAGAAGTTTCTGTAAAGAAACCACCCATCCTTAAACTACAAAAGAGAAGATGAAAAAGCAGATGTAGCCTTCACTTCAGTGTATTTGAACCATACTGGAATTAAGATTTTATTCCCTATTTAATTGGAAACTTTGGAAATAAGCAGGAATAAAGCAGAATAGATGGGATTTCATTTTAAAAATGAGTAATCAGTAAACAATAATATTGCCCTAGTACAGCAAGGAGAGGCTTATTAAATCAGGGAAGTGATTGAAATGGGAAAATATGTTTTGGATTGCTGTTTGTTTTGGATTTAAAAGGCAGAAGTGAGCCTTCCTCCTCAGTACTTCCCAGCTCACTGACTGGTTTGGTGACAGGGTTTGATTCAATTCCTAGTAACATCAGCAATATTCTTTCCATTGTGTAACGAGAATGGGGCCATGCTATGGGTGCACAGCAGCTTCTCCATTGTACCTCTGGCCAGGAGCTTCTGCTACTAATAATCACCTTTGCTGAAATCTGTAGTAAGTGTTAGATGTTCTAAACATGTCTGTGAAGAGAGGAATGGGTTCAATACACTGTCTCTGCACTTTTTCCTCTTTGAAGCTAGGGAAGTGCATTCTGTATCTGCTTTGACATGTTCTCCTGCTCTCATAAAATGTGCATTCTGTTCTCATGGAGAGTGCTTTTGAGGCAGACACCACGGGATTTGGCACAGTAGGATAACTTTGAAAAAAAGATTGGATTCCACCCAGACAAGCCTATAAACTAGCAATTATGGCTG